ATGTTGGGTAACTATAATATAATCAATTGTTTAATGCATCTTAATTTTATGTTATTATTTTCTCAATTTCTCTTATAAAAAGGTGTGGCTCGGGTCTTTGGGTGATAGATATGGGATTAGAATATCCATCTTCTTTATTTATAGGAATTGATATTGATCCCTCTAATTTTCCGTCAAGTGACCAATGTCCCTCAAATGTTTGTTTTATTACATGTAATGCAATTTATGGCATTCCATTTCCTCAAAATACTTTTGATTTTGTCAATATGAGTATGATGTGGGGTGCATTTTCTGAGGATCAATGGATTATAGTAATAAAAGAACTTGTCAGAGTTTTAAAACAAGGTGGATGGGTTGAACTTACTGAACCAAATTCAACACCTAAAAATTGTGGAAAGATCCAATTATGGCTTTCTGAGGCTTGTAAGCATTTAACATAGTAAATTATTGAGTATTTATTTAAAAAAATTAACCCAAGTTTTTTTTAGTTATAAAAGCATCCCAAGAAATACGAGGTGTTAGAGTTGATATTCATAAAATGTTGCCAAAATATATTGAGGCAATAGATGAACTTGAAGATTTGAATTGTATTAATGTAGATTATCCAATAGGCGAATGGTCTGGATGTTTTGGTAAATATGTAAGTAAATAATTTATAATCTTATTACATAGAAATTAAAATTCTTTTATCAATATAATAATCTTGCATTTTTTTGTATAGTCATTAGAAAATTTTAGGCGAATATATCAATCTATGCTTTTTCTTCCAAAATACATGGGTCTGTCTAAAGAGGAATATAATAATTTATTGGATGATTATGTTAAAGAAGCAAATGAAAACAAAGGTTCTTTTTCTATTTTCAAATGTTTTGCTAAAAAAGTTGCAGAAAAGTTTTAACTATTTAGCAATAAGTTGCTTAATGTCAAATTTGTTTTGATATAATTTTGTTAAGTTATACAATATTACTCTATGATTAATTTTATTCGTAAAAAATTTATGGTTTAATTAAGCAAACTTAGTTTTTGCAAACCTTAGTTTTTTTAGACTAATCCCTAAATTATAATAATTAAATGCATAAAAATAGTTTAATACTAAAACATATTAAGGGCGTAATATTTTTAGACAATCAAATATGTATTAAATAAAGAATCAACAACTATTAAGCAATATATTAAAGTAGAATTTAATAAACTGACATGCACAAAATGCACATGGGCATGAATTTTTTTTTTTTTTGGTGCAGAAAAAAATCGTAAAAATTATACTTGTGCAAGAAAAAATAGATTAGCTTACACTATGTGGTCTTTAATTTAAACCAATGAAGTCAACGTTCAATATATTCTTTTCAATCAATATACCAGATACTTTAGGTTTGAAATGATCATGAAGCCAGTATATCACTTCGCCGGTTAAACCAATAGGTTTCAAACTTCTTCTATTCTTCATAATACGTACAACAGCTGCCTAGAAATGAGTATAAAATTGTACTTTTAATTAATATAAAACAAAATGAATATATGCATATAATCATTTAAATTATCGACAACTATTAAAAGATAAACATCCTCATAATTGAGTTATATTTTCCAACTTAATTGGACCATTTAATTGAATACGAGTTTTATTGCTACAGCCGTCCTCCTCTACAGTCACCCCCTATATAATCACACCCTCTTTATAAGCAACATTTTTAAGAAAATTATTGGCAATTTATTATTTTAAAAAAACTTTATATAGTCACATTATTATTAAAGTTTTATAATCACATTTTTTTGTAAAACAAACCGCGTGATTATAGAGGAGGACGATTGTACTATTATTACTAAGAATACTGTATCTGATTGTGTATGATATAAATCAGTATTTGGCATTACTTTATCCAGTGAAGTAATAAGGCTGTTCGAAATTGAAACTTCGTTTAACGTTATTTTTTTCGAGAAGGAGGGGGGAAAATTAAACATAATGTACCGAAAAATCCCTGTGATTATGTCGATCAATCTATCACTTCTATTTATTTAATTTTTGGGAAATTCCGGAGACAGAGAGGTGGATAACGTTAAACGAAGAATCAATTTCAAATGGTTTAATGTTAGCATCATTTCCAAAGGCAACGACCTTATCAATATTAGGGATGGGAACAGCTACGGCTATAGCCGATTATAGTTGGCTATTAGTATTAGCCGTAGCCGATATTAGCCGACCGGATGGATTAGCCGGTCAGTTGAAATTGTAACCGATGCCAGGTTTTTACAGCTGTTTTCATAAATTTTGGAACACCTAAAAAAATTTGCCGATGATAATTTCGGCCGAATTCGATTTCGGTATGATCAGTATAAGAAAAATAATCAATACAAGCTATTTTTGTATCATAATGATCATTTTACGATGTCAACAATAATGTCAACGATTTTAAATTTTCGTTCGAATGCTTGTCCAACATATTTGGTGTGCTTAGTTTGTACGAAATTTTATGGAAAAAACTATTCATGTCAACCAATAAACATTAACAAGAAATCTAAAAAGGAATCGAATATAAACTAGACTTTATAACAAATATATTGCAAATACAGTATGATCATGAATTTGCTGACTGGTTTAAAAATGAATCTCGCCAAGCGACCAAGATATTATTAATATCTGTCGAGGAATTATGATAAAAGAAATCGAAATAAAAAATTTTATGTTTATATTTATTTATATATTTTTCGTCTTCGACAAGAAACGAAAAATAATTAGAAATAAATAAATGCTTTCGTTTGAACAAAATGGATCTTGCCAAAGAATAGGAATCGAGATTTAGTTTGGTATTTTAAAACCGAATTTTTCGTCTTCGACAAAAAACGAAAAATAATTAGAAATGAATAATTGCATTCGTTTGAACGAAAATGTATCTTGCGAAGAATAGGATCGAAATTTAGTTTAATTTTTAAACCCGAATTTTTCTTCGACAAGAAACAAAAATAATTAAAAATGAATATGAACGAAAATGGATCTTGCCAAAGAATAGGAATTGAAGTTTTATACAATTTTTTAAAACCTAATTTTCTTCAAAAATAATTAGAAATAAATAAAGGCTTCGTTTGAACGAAAATGGATCTTGTCAAAGATTAGGAGTTGAAATTTTACACAGTTTTTTTAAAAACAAAATTTCGTCGAAAAATAATTAGAAATGAATAAAGGCTTCGTTTGAATGAAAATGGAACTTGCCAAAGAATAGGAATTGAAAATTTACACAATTTTACACAATTTTTTAGAAATAAGTTCGAATAAAAACGAATAAGTGCAACAAGTATGCATGTTGCTGTGTTGTAATATATATTGGTACCTGATCTTATTAAATTACGTACGTGAATCTTATTATTCTCGAAATCAATAACTTCGAATTCGGCCGAAATTATCATCGGTAAATTTTTTTAGGTGTCCCGGAATTTATGAAAACAGCTGTAATTATACTGACAAGGTAGCACATTGGCAGATCTGATTGATAGAAAACCCATCATTCATAATTCTGGTCAAATTTATAGATCATTTGACCAGATCTAGAACAAACAATTTTAATTCTGGTCAAATGATCTTCACTTGATACAGATTCACCGGTTCGAAGCAGGTTCGATATATCCAGAGTTGACTATACTGTATCTCCTTAAAAAGCTTACGACATATCCTGTAAACACATTGTTCAAACCCTAGCAGAAATTGTATTTAGAACTAAAAATTAAGCTATAATCACATCACAATTTTTTTCCCCTTATTATAAAATTATCGTCGGTCACAAGTGTCTCTTACATTTTTACCAATCATTTTGCACGTGTGAAATGAGATGATATAAATGGTCACAAATCGCAAGCCCCGCCAGGGGTCTAGACACTTTTGCAGTAACATGACGTGGCGTATAGAAAATGACTAATCGGAATTCGTAAATTTCGATCATCCCGGATCAGTCCGACGTCAAAACAAAACACGTGTGCAAGAAGAAAACAAGAGAAAAAGTGAAAATACTCGAAAACTGGTGTTTAAATCAGCTTTTAAACACTAACAAAAAGTGTCGAAAATGCAATTTTACATTTAATATATAAAGCTAAAAACCCTAACACGAACCCTAACATGAACCCGAACCCAAACCCTAAATTAAAGCAAAAAAATACGCCACACCATGTGATGGTCACATTAATGCAAAGTGTCTAGACACCTGGAGGGGCCTATCAAAAAACAAAGTATTAAATTTTATAACTATATGAAAATTTACTAATTATTTTTTTAGCAACTTATTATTTAATTAG